GGGGTCCGGGACCCCAAACACCCACCAAAAAAGGGGTTGCGCGCTTTAAGGGGGGGGGGGGGGGGGGGGGCGCTTAATTATCGACCTCCGTGCGTGGGAAGTGCTGGGCACGCTTCACGTACTTTGACATCGTTCTCTCGTTCATGTTTTGGAGGCATCACGCCTATTTGCCGTCCCTAAAATTTCAGAATGCACCTCCAATTAAGGGAGCACCTCGGTAGTTGGATGAGAACGACCACTCCCGCCGTACCTGTCGCCTCGACGCCACGCCATGTCTGCAGCGTTTATCGAAACGGAGGCCGAAACTGTCGACTATTGTACCCAAGTTTCCCGACATGTCGGCCCCAAACAAGTTGTGCGTGCTGTCTGCACCTCCTCAAGCGTCGTCGTCAGCTGAACGCGCATGAAAACACAGCAGAGCATGCAACTCTCACAAGTCCATCTTGCACTGGTGCCGCGTGCCTGCCGACCGTGTCTTACGGATCTGTGACTCAACCAACCAGACCCATCACCGCCGGTTACTGCAGCTCTTCACTAACACGCCTTCTATCGGGGAAAAACCGCATGCTCTTATAAATGCAGCAGGCTGCTATTTACATAAATCTCGTCGAACCTTGGTGCACCGCTGACCCGTCTTCGCGGAAGTGAAGCAAACCTCCGCCCACTTAACCGGAGACAGCATTTGCCTCGCGTATTCCACCGCCTGTGAGGAACACGAATACAAAATCACGTTTTGCCGCAACATACAAGAATGGTGGCAATCATGGAGGTGGTGGGGCCATGGAGAGCAGGTTGGGAACAGGGAGAAAGTAACCTAGAGCAGGTGACCGACCCAACCGACAGGGGTATAGCACCAGAGGAGACGACTACTTTAGGATTTCACGCTGGCAGCCCACCGGCGCGGTCCCACTGCTGTTCGACAAGCAACTACTATAATACTTCGAGAAGCACAGCCAACCGTGAACATCGCGAAAGCCGGCATCGTCGCTGAACGGCGTCTTTCTCTCAACGTAGCGCCAGCAACAGCAAGTAGCACCAGCACGTGACACCAGCCAATAGCGCGAGCCTTCCACTGCGGGTACAGCAGGTACCAAAGACCCATCCACCGGGAAACTTCGCAACACAAGACCCTCTCAAAAGAAAAACAAGGAAGAAGCACACCATGTAGCGGAAAGCAACAAAGCACGATTTCTCGTCCAACGCTCAGCAAGGGATCGCACACCTTGTTGTAGGAGGAGTCGTCCTTGTCTTCCACCAGATCCCACTTGTTGCACACCACCACGCAGGCACGTCCGTCCGACTGGATGCGGTCAGCCAAAACACGGTCCTGGGCGACAAGGCGAGCCGATGGGTCGTGGGAGGCGTGGATCAAATCAATCTTAACCGTGACATACCCACAGCAGTGTAGTTCAGGCATACCAAGGGCGCCAAGCAAACGAACACGGGCAACGGTTCAGTTTCTCGAAACATGTACACGAGCAATGGCTGCTTAACAAGTTTGGGTTAAGAGAGAGCTGATCCACAGATGGTCTCTCCAATATATCCAGACTGACCCCCTTTCGCGCATGGTTTTGCTTTACGTCGGAATGGCAGACGCAACAACACCAGCAGCGCACGTCGAAAACGCACAGAACCCAAGGCCCACACGCATGCAGACTGCAAAATGTGGAAGCGTGCTGTGGAATCAGGTGAAATTGGGCTGTGTGTTTTCAGGGTGCATCGAGGCACCCCATTCGTCAGCCACTTTGCTGTGCGTCTCTTACCCCGCGCCTAGGCGACGGCATGTTTGAACATACTCCCGCGCGACTTGTTTGACGCTCGCATGCTCTTTACTGTACGTAGGGATACCTTCCACAAAATCTAAAAGTGCTCGGAGATTTCCTTGTTACACCATCGCTCGCCCTTCCAAAAGCACAATTCCAAAAAAAAAAAAAAGCTGCAAATCCGTCTATTCCGGCATGTACCATAACCACGCAAACACGCGCCAACAGCAAAAGATGAAAAAACAAAAAAACAAGGTACACCCGTACTTGCGGCGAGAACTGTTCAACGTCGGGTTGGTTGGGCCTTCGGCCTCACCTGGTCCGTGATGCCGGCCTCCACGTCAACCATCAACAGCACCACATCCGCTCGCCTGATCGCCTTAAACGCTCGGTTCACCATGAAGAACTCGTTACCGTAGTCCACCTTCAATAACACGCGCGTCGAATTTCTCATGGGTGAGGTTTCAGGATCAAGGGCCGAACTGCGCTTCCAACGCCGGAAGGTCAGGACGAGGCCAAAGACCGGGTTCTTTCTTGTCAAAACGCAGGTCGCGTCCAACACTCGCGTTTGCATGACTGGCAAATTAGCTAGCTATCGAGAGGCGATCGCGCTGGCTGGGGCAAGCTGCTAAGAAGCGCTAGCTTGTTCGATTCGTTCGCCACGGAATCATGATTCTATGCGATACTGGCATGCCGTCTTGGGGAACACACAGGAGCCAACGCGTGAAACAAGAAGGGCGGGTGAGCGTGGTCAACCTTCGCCCCCCCCGCCCGTCGCCCGCGCGCCGCCGTATTGCCACATCAAAACCCTTAACCTCCGGGCTGTTGGACGAACGAACTAGCTTCGACGTGTTTCACGCTGATGGTGTCGGTGGGCCCATATGGACGGCTCCTTAGCTCTCCTGGTTGCGCATGTCACCGCTGACCACCACCACCACCATATTCAAGGAGATTTTCATCCGAATGGCCTACTAGACGGACACGCAAGATGCTGACGTACGTCCTCTCGGAGCAGTTGCCTTCCTTCGAAAAACCAAACCGCTCAGCACGCTCCGCGCTTGATGCAATCCAAATGCCTCCCGAGCAGGCACATAACCCAGGAAGGCAAAAACAAAACAAAAAAAACGACATGCTCTGTGGCCTCTCACAGGTCGTCTGTATGATAGTTGTCTATTGTAAGATATACCCCATGCACAACAACATCTCCACTTTTGTTGGTGCGCGAAATACGATTAGACCGGATGGATTCACAAATTGGAACACCACGGATCTCATCGCATGTCTTGGAATTCTGACTTACATGTCCCGAATGTGAATGGACGGAGAGTGGCCGTCAGGATCCACGTTGTGGTCAGTGCATTCGCTAAATTTCTCAGCAAAAAAAAAATCGAAAAAAAAAAACCGGGTCAAATTCGGAGAGCTGTTCCAAGCCCGTTGACATATTCGCAAACAGTGAAGCACATCGCAACAATCAACGAAACAGCGCAAGAATTTCCAGTTGTTCGATGATCAAACGTCAGAGAACAACAAAATTATTAATAGTTTCGAAATTCGCGCCTGGAGACAGGGCTTTAAACGGTACTTTTTAATTTTAGGTTTCTGGACAACCACCCCTACCCCGACAAAAATATACCTTGGTGCTGGGAAAACGATGGAGATATTGGTGTGCAAGGACCTGCGCTACGGCCATGCATGCCAATGAGGGTACACCCCACCCCGCGACCGGGCTTGCGTGCCGGTTCGGGCCAACCGTTCATCTGACCTTGCCCTTGCGGCGAATCCCCGCCGTGTCCACAAGCCGGTAGGTCCTGCCGCCCCGCTCGAACATGGCGTCGATGGAGTCGCGGGTGGTGCCCGGCACGTCGCTAACGATAGACCGCGTCTCTCCGAAAAGCCGGTTGAGGAGGCTGGACCTGGTTGTTGGAGGGACAGGGAGGGACGCGGATAGAGGGACAAGATAAATAGTAGTGACGGGCGCCGACAGCATCATTGATGTCACTCTTCCATCCTAATCACTATCCCGGGTGGTTGCACATGCTACAAACGTTGTTGCCCGCGCCTGTGCTACCGCGCGCGGGTTACAAATCCGTCGAGGGTCTTCGAGAGTGAGAATCCTGATCAACGCATCCCATGACACATCAGAAGAGCACGCGCAGCAGCTATAGTAGTCGCGCAGATAGTATTCCTCAACCATGCTCGTGATGCGGTATTGAACTTACCGACTCAAGTGAAACGACACGTGTCGAGAGAAAATGCGACCCTAGCAGCTACATGGCATGGAGCAAGAACTGGCAACACCACCCGCAAGATGTCCCGTCCGCACAATCCGCTGCTGTACGCCGCGCCACAACAACGGCAGTCATGCAACCGTCACCTCATGCGTCATGCCTCGCGATTGGCGCCAGCGGCGTCCACGCTACCCGTTCCACTGTTCCAACCCAATTCAACCATACAACGCCTAGGCTGCGTGAAGATACGTCCAAGGAGTCGAACCAAAAAGCGCGCGTGTAGGGGGGGCGGGAGGCTGAACACCACCTACTTTCCAACGTTTGGCCTCCCCACGATAGCGACGTTGATGTTGTCCTCCTCCTCCGCGTTCTCGTCGACCTCGTACAGGTGCTCCGCCACGTTATCCATCATGTCGTAGATCTGACGTCACGGACGAGATGATGATTGGTGGCGATGATCAGAAACGTGTTTGTGTGAAACGTAAACATGTCGTAGGTCGTGTTTGTATACCATGCCGTAGATCATACCGCCACGCGCAGGAGCTAAATATCAAGTCAAGGCGGACAAGAACAACCGCGACTGCATATCGAAACCAGAAATCCCTTCCATGTCCACGCATTCGGGAACGCACACATATCATAACTGAGCATCTCATACGGAAATACACCCGTAAGTTGAGAATCTCTTGCTGTGCCTGTCGAGCCATGAATAGTAAATCGTCAATTCGAATAGCAAGGGGCCCTTGACCACCCCTGGGCCGGAACGCTCAACAAAGCGCGAAGAAGTACCGGCACACCCAACCATACGGCACGTGCACCCGGCGTGTTTTCACGAAACCTTTCAGGCGTCTATCTTTCATGCCGCCGCCGGTGTTGCAGGTGCTGCTGCGCGCCGCACTACAAAATTGAAAGCACCGGGAATAAACCATCACCCAAAACAATACGGCAGACACAGGGGAACGTGGGCAGACCTCGTCGGAAAGGACCCTTTCTGACGAACAAAAAAGCTCTCAGTGCGGTCGGTCAGCTACGTCATGGTACCAAGAACAGCCTGATTCCCAGCGCACAACCAACCAACGCGTCCGACACAAAGTTGGTTCCATCTCCAAAACACCCGATACGGAGCTTGGATGGAACACGAAACCCGAGACCAAGGCGGTGAGGGGAGGTTCAAAGACAAAAAAAGAGCCCTACTCAGGACGCGTACAGCCATCGCGTACACTCGGAGGGGATAATGGTCGACTATCATTTCCAGGCGCCTATATTTAGCGCATTGCGCGCGCGTTGTTGGAATGTAGCACGCGCGGGGCTCTGCAGCGAGTGTTGCTCAACGGGGTGCTCTGCCTCCCCCGGACACAACCGCCCTCACCCCGTCCCCGTGAAGGCCGCTGATTGGCCAAGGCTCGCCAAGACCGAGGCACCAGAACTCCGCCGTCTGGATCTCTCCATACTTCTGTTAAGCCACGACCAAACGACCAGTGCAACACGGGCGGACCGGCAAGACGAAAGGGGTACGGAATGCTGCTGGATTCACTTGGTGGTGGCAGGAGAGAGAGAGAATCTACGAAACATGCTTACGACGCAGACATGAGTCGGCCATATTTTCACAAGCATATCCCTCTCGTGACCAAATACCGAGTGTGGCGTCTCAAATATCCTAGACATGGGTGGTTTTACGTATTTGGCCGTACTTGGCAAGGTTTGAACACGCAAGCCAAGGCTAGCTACGTGGAAATACCCACCGAGGAATTTTCGAAAGTGTTTAGTGGTGAATATCCCCCAAGCAGGAGTGCGATCAACCATACTGGTACAAGGCGTGAAGGGCTTTGCAGACGAACTCGAGCATTCCCCGATACCGTCACGATTAGCATGTGACCCTTGTTCAAGCTCAAAAATGTTCAAGACGTTCCTTCGTAACCCTCTACCCTTCTCTCGAAAAACCGCACAAAGCTCAACAAACCCTCGCCAACGTTTTCCTCGCACTTGCCCTCCACAGATCAAGCAAAGCACACTTCATTCTGACAATAAAACGGCACCACATGATAAAAAAAAGGGGGCCCACGCAGCGTGGGAGGCAAACACGAAAAAACGGACTAGATCCGCGAAAACCACCCAACAAACTACCTCCCACTCACCAACCAACCTACCTACCCCCCGAGCCGCCCACATTGCGTGCGACTTCTCCTCTCACTTGATGTCTATTTCGTGTCCTGGGCGGTAAGGGTAACCACACACGACGCCACACGCCTACGCTTATCTCGTCTCCTACCCTCTCCTCTCCTCTCTCTTCTCGCGTTATACCTGGGACTCGCACTTGTTCACGGCGAGGACGACGGGCACCTTCTGCTGCCGCAAGAACCGAGCGATCTCCTGATCCAGCACGTTGCAGCCTACTATGCCGTCCACCACCATGATGACCGCCGTGGCCTCCTCGAGCGCGATCAGCGCCTGCTGCCTGATCTGCAAGCCAAGGGATTACGGTGTGTAGCGCGGGGGGGGGAAGGGTCTTATCCGAACTGTCGAATCTCGAGTTGACATCCAGATTTGGGTACAAGAATGCACGATCAAAATAAATCTCTTCTTGATTGGGTAAAACGTACTTCCGCCGGTTCACCCTTGAGGACTACTGGAAAGAGAGATTCACCGTGGCTCGAACCGGGATTGCAAAGAGGGAAATCGAATAAATCAAATCCGAACTTGGGCGAACCGGAACCCAGAAACCAACCGTGTTCCACAAGAAAAGACGCTCTTCCGGGGATATCGACCAAGGGCGCGACACCCAACGGCGACAGTTGACGCCTGATTCATACGCCAAGTGGCATTACGGAGACTGCACGACTAAATAGCGTCCTCTTTTGCACGTAGGCTGTGCCGCGCAAGATGTTCTGTACTCCGGAGGGAGACAACCTGAGACATCCCGAAAAAATAAAGACGCAAGTAGAGTGAATCTCGTAAACCGATTACCTACAAAACAAGCGATTCGGTATGGACACAAAACTACCCCGACCACGACCATCACCATCACCACCACCACCACCACCACCGCTACCGACAACAACGACGACGACGAAAACGACAACAACAAATAAACCCATTTCCCACCTCCTTCGCGAAGACGTCCCCCCCCTTGTCGTCAAACACCAACCCCCCCGTGTCCACGACGTCGAAGTCCTTGCCGCAGTACCACGCCCGCTTGTACGTCCGGTCCCTCGTAACGCCGGACTCGTCGAACACGATCGACCCGTCCTTGAAGCGCTTAGCCAGCCGGTTCACTACCGTGCTCTTCCCCACGTTAGGGCGACCTGTTGGTGGAGGCAAGATACCGTTTCGCCGAGAAAGTGCGAGGCGGCGTTGTGCTCTTGTGAATGACCAGGAGGACGGCTAAAGGACTGGCTGCACGCTGTTCAAGCCTCGACGATACGACACGTCGGAGAGGCTCCACGCCGAAACATCGTAAGTGTTTTACCCGTTTACGTAAACATCAAAAAAAGAGAGGACGGAAAGCAGCATCTTGTACGGCATCACGAGGAACATTACCGACGAAGGCTGCGGCCGAAAACGGGTCGCCTTCGCGAGAAAATAAGTTTTTGAGGAAAAAGCTGGTATAAATAGGGAGGGGGTACGCAGACTATATTCCCTAACCCTAACCCTAACCCCAACCCAACTTCCCCGATTGCATGCTTTATCCAACATGCTAGCTAAATAGAAAAAATCCTGCGAAGGCTACAGGCCGAGAACGGGCGGTACTCCGCCTCCAGCGGCACGAGAAAACACACACACATTGCGCTTCTCGAGATAACCCCAAACAAATAGGGGCGAGGCTTAACAAGAGCGCGGCAATCACAAAACAATACTGCCATGGATTACAACCAAACGAAACTGCCGTGAAAATTAACAAAGCCTCGGTCGGGGGCATCGCTACGAACGCTTACAGACCGTGCCGCCACCTCAAGACCCTCTGATTTCCGCCGACGCTCGTTTCTTTATTCGCCTTTGGGGAACCTACCCCCTCGGCGACAATTGTATAGGTCTTAAGTGTACTACTCTTGACAGAGTAACTGTTTGCTATGGCCAATTTCCTACATTTTTTTAGGCTTTAGGCAAGTTAGTAAAAGTGGTGGCGCGTTCATGTACTCACCGATGACGGCCACGACCGGAAACCTGCGCTTCGAGCGGGCGCGCTCTCCCTTCACCGGCACCGGCGGGCCGAGCTTCTTCAGCTCCCGAACGCGGTCCATGGCCTCCTCCACCCCGATCACTTGCACGGGACCACTGCAACACGCGCGCGCGCACACAGAGGGAGGTGGAGGGGAGGGATTAGGCTTCCGTGAACAGCTCTTGCGGTTGGTGGTGGTGGTGGTGGTGGTGATGTTCGTGTTGTCTTGACAGTTAACAAGCGTGCCTGTCTCTGCTGAGTACCTTCTGACGTCCGTACTGGTCCAACTGAGGCAGACGGCTTCCGTGGTCAGTCGCAGGCTAACTACCCCCCAAGAGAGAGGGTGCACATTGCCACACGACAGAACAAGGGTATTCCGGGGGGATTGAGTTGACAAAAAACGGTACACAAAGGAAATGGCTCAAGATTTGATTGACCCCGAGGCCCCATGCTAATTGGGAAAGTACCATCTGGCGGTCCGAGCGGAGAGCGCCGCGGACATGCGAGCTGCTCGAGTCGGCTTGCAATGCTTCCTGTCGCACAACAGTTAACTCCCGCACAAGTAACATACGCAGGCAATCCTCGTTCACCCTGCCGTCGTAGCAAAATGCGGAGGCGGCGCTCCGCAACACGGAAGTTCGTCGTTGCCGACTACTGTACTTCCCAAAAAGTCACGACCCTCGCCTGGAGATAGATCGAGCGCCACTACTTGGAACGTATACCATACCATTCCACTACTACAATACTCCCGTGTTTCACCTTGTGCTGTCGCCCTCCTCGCCGCCTTCGTCGCCTTCGTCGCCTTCCTCCTCTCCCTCGACGGCAAAGAAGTCCTCCGACTCGTCGAACTCGCTCTCGTCGAAGTCGATCAGAACCTCGTCCCCTTCCTCCATCGGCTTGTGCTCTGCCGCCCCCGCGGTCATCGTCCGCGGTTCACAAAAACAGCGATGAAAATCGAGCGCCGGAGTAGTGGGGGTAAGCAGCAGGCAGCTGGGTGACGACGAGAAATATGCGACGCAGCGGTGATTTTGGTTTGTAACGACGGCGTCCGGGAGCACAGCAAATGCGGCGCAAAGCTTGAGGGAGACAAGCAGGCGCGCGCCCGCCCAGAGGTTTGGGAAAAAGTAGCAAAAAAAAGTGTGCCCAACATTATCTCCGTGCAGACTATGTACGTCATTCCACAGCGCAGGTATGCACCCTACCGCCACACGGGACTACCAGTACAGCAGTATGCACAGCTGTTGCAAGCGTTGCTGCTTGCACAGAAAGCGGGTTGAAACGAATAAAAAAGACACTCGCAGCACACACCTGTGGATGAGGCTTCGTCAACGGCCTGGCTGCGACATGAAACGACCCTCCTTCTCCTCCCGCTGACCCCACGCCCAGACAGCTGGGAACTCTCACGACTGCCACCACCACTACCTCGCTGCCGCTGAACCTGGCAGCGATGGTGTCCGCTGCTACCCCTGCTCGTCCAGCCTAATGTCTGTGCCTGGCGTGAGCTCCGCGCAGCCGCATGTGAAACCCAGGCCTCGGCCGTAAGCGGAGCTGTCACTGCTGCCACCGCCGCCGCCGTGAGCAGGGAACACGCAGCCCTTGACCCTTGCAGGCGCGATCTTGATGGTGCCGAAGGGTTCCGAGCCGTCGTGCTACCCTCTGCTGTCCCCTGTCCCTGCTGCTGTTGCGGTTGCCGCCGAGGAGTCATGTTGTGTGGTCCGAGGTTGAAGTATACGTGCTGTTTGTCTGACGCTCGAGAGATATACGGTTGACTTTGGCTGCAAGCTTGTTGCTGCTGCAAGGAAAAGAGAGTTCCCTTTGATCCTTGTCGGTGCGTGCTACCCACACGGTGAGGCTCCTGGCTGCTCCACACGACGACACGTTAGTCAGCTCTCTCTCTGCTCTCCTTCGTCGTTGTCGGGTAGCGGCTTCGCACACTGGAACGACACCTCGCGTGTACACCTACCTACCTTACAGTACGTATTCTCGGCTTCAGTCCCCCCACGTGTTCTACGATCGCGATCTACGATCAATCCAACACGCCGCCGACGATCTTTTGTGGTCCACCTTGTTCATGAGACGAGAGACAGCAAGAGATGTATTGTAGCGAACATACATGCCCATGGGGTGGAGACTTAGCACGCGGTGACCGCACAGACAAGCGGGCGGCGACGTGCACATTGACACACGAGAAGAGGAGAGAGAGAGAGAGGCGGCCCCTTTGCCCAGAGGAATGTTTGGTGTTGGCCTTCGTGTAGCGTACAGCATTAATACTGTGGACTCAGAGATCAGCGTGGCTCCTGGGTGCTTTCTTATGCATTGAACGGCAGAACCCTAAAACGCAGCACAACTTCGAAGGCTAATGAAGAATTTAGACTAACTCGCCTTAGGCCCTTGAATCATATCACAAGGAACAACGGCTGGTACATTAGTCTACAAGTTCACGACACCCGACATTGTAGCCAACATCGCCAACACACCAGCTCTGACCAGAGTAAACCGCATACGCATCAGCAAGCAACGGTTCTAGACTACAGCGAACTCCCACAGCTTGGGATTCTTCCACGCAGGGAGTTCGAGTTAGAAAGCGAGATCAAAATAATACAAGCAGGAGCACCAACAAACAACGTCGGAACGAAATAGACTACCACCACCATAAATAGCACGGCCATCAGCACCGACAAAACGTCGCCGAAACTACGGAGAGATAACGCAGGGAGCATGTGCGCTCCTAGACGGTTCTTGCCGGCTTTGCCTCGAGTGGGACCGTCGCAGGAACCTAAAAAGGTTTGCGTTTTTACCGCTCTACAGTACTCCGCTGTACTTCCAACAAGTGAAATCAAAAGTCTGCGAAGCAAGTCCCCGCAATACTGCATCTCTCAAAACTGTTCATTTTTACTTACCAAACGGGCGCGGCCACGTGACTCGTACCCCTGCACGACGACTCATGGTTCAATTCTGAGTTTACAGGGGGGGGGGTTATCAACCATGCCATCCCTATCTTTCTACAAACGAAACCTTGCTATGGAATGGACGGAAACTTCGGAACCCGACAGGTTGCCGCCTGAGCGGTGGCTTGCTACGTCCCAACACGGCCCCGTGCTGCAGTGTTGCAGAGAAAAAAGCGTCACCAATCGCTACGTACGCATACGGTTCCTTGTGTGCGGTGAAAGATCGTTAAGTCCCTTGCCAGAAACGCGTCCGTGCTCATTCCCTGTCCCTATTCTAACCCAAAACCATTTGTCAGGGAGGAGAACAGGTCAGAAAAACATTTCGCAGCTGAGAATACAAGGATGGCAAAAAACCAAAAGCTGTCGAAAAACGAAAGCGTCAACATCTTCAGCATAGCAGGGCAAGCCTATTCACGTAGGATAAAACATACAGGAACCCGTCAGAATTGGAGCTATTAAAACCCAGAGACACAGAAGGTTAAGAATCGGACACCCCTGTTGCTACGGCAGCGACCTTTGCAATCTTGGCCATTCTGCTGGGAGGAGGGGATTCTTCCCCCTCGTCCCCGCTGCTCCCGTCCTTCTCCCCACTACCCTCCTCGTCGTCGTCGTTATCGTCGTCGTCGTCCGCTCCCGGCGTCCTTCCAATCGCCTTGTTCAGCAGGGTCATCCCCAAAGTCTGCCCAGCAACAGAAAAGGGCACGGCAAGCAAGGAGAGCGTGCAACCGAGTTAAAATCTCGCTGTTCTGTTCTCAAAAAGGGGGCATCGAAAATCGGTTCCAAGAAGGCCTGAGGAGAAGCGACAGCAGCCGCGCAAGCGAGTTGTTTCAACGCGCTGTCCTTCCTGAGTGTGAAACAACCCGCCGTCAATCCAACTTCCAGAGACATATGTCGATATCCATAGCTGCCTCCTCCTGGCCCAGTACGGCCTACAGTAGATGTATCAAAGATCGCTCTCCCCCAAAACATAACAAATGATGAGCAACCTTCTGCCTGGAGAGGAGCCGGCGTTGCCATGCAGACATCGGCCCCTCACAAGGTGTTGCCATGTTGTCATGCTAACGTTGGTCACACAATGGTGTTGCCATGCAACCGTCCGGTCTCACGAAGGTGTTGTCATGCTGACGTCGGTGTTAATCATGCAAACGTCCATCTCACAAAGGTGTTGGCCATGCCATGCAAACGTCGGTCTCACAAGGTGTTGCCGTCCAACCGTCCAACCCAAACAAGGTGTTGCCATGCCATGCAAACGTAGGTCTCACTACCGTGCAAGGGTCGGTCTGCCTGTCTCACCTTGAGCTTGTCGTCGCTGGCCATGACCTTCTTGGTAACCTCGTGGTTAGGGAGGAGGCTGAACGCCACTGCCAGCAGCCCCGCCCACCAAGGGCACCCCACCATCATGCCGAACACAACGCTGTCCACCCCGCGTTCAATCCACTCGCAGTCGTACCCGCGGATCTGGGGGGGGAGAGGAAGCGAGAGAGGGAGGGAGAGAGAGAGAGAGAGAGAGAGAGAGAGAGGGAGAGAGAGGTGCAACACCGGCATGGGGTTGGGGGGGAGGGGGGAGGGTGGTGAGGATTGTTTGGGGTAGTGTTTCCAGCAAAGAAAGAGGTGGATGTTGTAGATAAAGAGGCTACGAAAACGCTGCTGGAATGTGCTTCACGCGCATCATATGCTGCGCACGCAATGCACTTTTCACCTGCGGAGAGAGCAGCCCAGCAAACATGCGTTACTGTCTGCCACATTGTTAATTCATGCTTTCAGCAGAGGAACAAACGGCAAATTTCGAAGTACACAGGTACAGTGTACTGCTGTTGAAAATAGGGCTAGGCAACATGTGGTTATCCTTCTCCCTCCTCAAGCTCCTCCCCAACCCGAACTTCAGGGTTTCTAGTTCCTAGGGGTGAACGGAGTTAAACCTTTGAGCGGATCGCTGAAAAAAAGAGGTAGCACTTGGGTCAAAGGCGCTTCACGCTGGACGCCATGCGCTTTTAGCGTAGCCGAGAACCCGCGCTTCTTCTTCCCATACCAGAATATGGCATGCGAGGATATTTGTGGACACGCCATGAAGTCATGCATGCCGTTCGGCGCACGCGTTTCTCGCTCCCAAACCCCCCCCCCACCCTCCCCCCCCACCCTCCGAAAACACAAAGCACACGTAACTTTGTCAAGCCACCCACCTTGAGCCCGCTGAGTATCCGCACGTCATCCTCCAGCTGGCCGTTCTTAACCACCAGAAGCTTCACGTAGGCCATGACCAGCACGAGCACCTTCACTAGAGGAAGCGCTCGGCCGAGCTGCCCGCCAGCCCCAGCAGCGGCCCCCTCCGCTCCTTCGCCGTCCGCGACGCCCCCCCCGGCCCCGAGAGAGGTTTGGAGGACGGCCGGCAGGACGCGGAGGGCCACGCCGAACGGCATAACCATTTCCAGCTTGAAGCAAGCCTTTTTTTGAATTCAGAGAGGGTTGCGTGGCACGGCAGAAAAGGCGGGGCATGACGATCGGGGCAAATCGGGGATGCAGAAGAGAGGGGGGGGGGTGTACTCATACTCATGGTCGTGCATGCCGTAGTCGTTAGACCATTGACCTCGCATCCCCACAAAGCCGGGACGGAGCACGCCGGGTTCTCACCGGACCAGGCTAGAACATCACCAAGCGCGAAGCGCCGTGAGGTACTTGGCGAGTCGCATGAAGGGTGAGCTGCATCCTGCTAAGGGTGTTCGGCATCTTGTGCTTACTTCCTTGCGTACGGATGACAGCTGCGTATGACTTAATTTATTTTCTGGTGCTTTCACTTCCAGAGACCGTTATAAGCACTGTGTAACTGCCTCGAGAATGTTTTACCATTTTAACACAACGTGGTGCGATTACCCCCTTTGCGTGGAGTGAGGATTATCGACCCCGCACAACATGAGCTACTCGACCACCATTATGGTTACCGCAAAAAAAAAAAACGAGGTAAAAGAAAAACCGGTAACCTGGTTGCCGAGTTCACGAAGTGAATTGGCTTGTTTTACAACGTCGTTGCCAAGCGACGAAAACCCATTCCCGATGGCAAACACCGAGCGGGGGGCTTGTTTTACAGCGTCGTTGCCAAGCGACGAAAACCCAACCCCGATGGCAAACACCGGGGGGGGGGGGCGTAAGAAAAAGGTGTGTGGGGGGGGGAGATAGAGAAGGAGAGGGGGGACCGTCAACGCTCGTTCGGTGTTGGTCGTTTGAGTCAATGGGCCATCCACGCAACGCACTTGAGACGAACCGCCCAGCTTTCCCCTGTTCTTCTACAAGCAACCGCAACCCCTCATCAAAAAGCAACAGAATTTCCGCGGGCCCTGTTCCGTCCCCCAACCCAGCGCAACAAGCCCAAGCGCGGAACACACCAAGACAACACAAAAAATAATTTTCAATATTCCTGGTGTTTTAGCTTTGAGTGGCACGTATTGCCCCCACGCTACACGCGCACGTATCACATCAGATCAGATTGAGATCAGACCGCGCCGTCTATCGCACCCGCCCCGACGAGAAAAACCGTACACGCGGCGGAGACGACGACGAGGCTTGACAACAGGCCTCAGCGGGAATGCAGACTTGTAACAGTCGCAGATAAATATAGTGCGGTACCCGAATTTCGGGCTCAAACGGGTGGCGTTGACTCTTTGGGTGGGCGCCCATAGCAGGGTACATAGTGCCGTGCTGAACCCCGCCGCACGGTATTCAATGTCAACAGTAGGGTTTTTGCGAAAGAACGCGTGGCTCGAGCGCGGAAAAAAGAATGTTTGCGATGACTTGCACATCAAAAGTGTATTTACCAGGCTGTCCCGACAGTTCACAGCAGGTGTTGCGAACGATCACAGCCGCAGCAGGTGCGTTGAGTCTCATACAAGCACAGCGGTAGCACCGGCACCAGCAACAACCAACAGCGGCAGCAGCAAAATCAGGAGAATCGCGAGACGCCCAACAGAAGAGCGCGGCACGCACCTGAGCCAATCGCCTTCCCAGCAAGAGCCGCTTCTCTCCCGCCGGGGTGTCCCTCCACTTCTCGCTGTCCCCCGCCGTCATGAAGACGCTCATCAGAGGCTCCGACAGCGTCGTCAACGTCTCCACCAAGCCTGTTTCAACAACAGAAAAGGAATGCAGAACGGAAGTTTCGGTACCTCTCATAGTACTCTGTGGTTTTGATCGACGAGGCGAAAAAGAACGCGAGCATGGGGACACAACGGATTTGCTGTGCCATACGCATACCAAGCAAGAACCAAACGTTTTGTGGCTTTGGGGCGGCAAGTTTCCCGCGGAAGAACCGATCCAAGCCAGCAGGCTTGAAGATTCGGTACCTCTCGTTGTACTCGGTGGTTTCGATCTACACGAGACAATAAAAAAAACGTGAGCATATGGACACAACGGAATTTTGCGTCATACCAAGCGGGGAAAAAAAAGCTTTGGGGCTTTGGGGCGGAGGGTTTCCCGGGGGAGAGACGATCCAAGCCAGAAGACTGCACGTGTTCCGTATGTACATGCATCCCGTTACGCAAGACATAACTGGGCGGGCCCCTCCGTTTCCCGCGCCCATTCGTGCATCCGTGTGCACTTACCGCAAGGGTTGGGGGCCACATCGACGCAACCCAGCTAACGAACTAACCTGGGGCGGTGATCTGCAGGGCCTCCTTCATGACCCACAGGAGGTAGACCGACTCCTTGAGCAGGAGCGGGATGAGGGCGAGGCTCAGGGGCATGAGCATGAAGATGCCGCAGTACACGATGCCTTGGACGGCCGGGTCGAGAGCCAGGGCCGACACCCTCGCACGGTACTTGACGTACCTGCTGCATGTGTTTACATGGGTGACACCACCGCAGGGATCAATCATCCTTGTCTCACGTATCGTCTAATGCACCCCTTCACGAGAAAATATTAATGGAAGGGGGAGGGGAAGGCTGCAATTCTTTTTTTTTTGGGGGGGGGCGCAGCGGCAGAGATTCTCCTTGTCTTGAGGGGATATGCTTGTATGCTTAATTTCTTGGCGAGAGAGCAAAAATAGAGACGCTTCTATAGATGTATGCTGCCTTTCTTTGTCGCCTTAACGTTCACCATCTCATCGCCACTGCCCCTTCATCGCGCCTGCTGTCGCCGCCGCATCTACATCGAGAGTCTCGACGCCCACTCTTGCCACCAAAGCCTCAAAACAACCTACGCATACAAAAAAAAAACAGTTGGTTGCCAAACGACACACCACCTCCCGCGCTTTGTCTCGAAATAAAGCGACTACCAGATCGGGGACACTTCACACCGCAGCACGTGCGAATAGCATAGCACAAACACATACCGTGCCATATATATCAGGTAGCGTGGCGGGGTGTAAAAGTTTCTAACTGGAGCTTGGGGAGGCTGCTCAAGCTGTGATTTTTGCGTTGTCCAAACTAGCGGGTCACTCGCAACACACACGCACACCGCACCGGGAGGCGAACTTCGCCGAAAATTGAAGAGTAGCAACGCCACAGATTCTCACCACAAACGCGGTTCGATCCTAAAACAGATCCACGTAAGACCGTCCCAAATCTTCCGTCAAAACACAACAACCGTCTTAGGGATGGGAGGAGAGCAGGGCGTGCGGGCGGGCGGGCGGGCGGGCGTGCGGGGAAGGGGGGGGGAGGGGAGGGTCTCACTACACAAATCGTCGGCAACTCCACAACAACCAACAGGCGGAAAACGCGCACCCACCTCTGGGGCTCGTAGATGAGATGAGGTACCAGCACCCTCCGCACCCTGCCGACGACCGTTCCCCACTGCTTGAGCGTTAGGACGGCCAGGGCTGCCTGGTAACTACCCCCGAACTTTGTGCTATCCATTAGGTAGGCCACCTGAAGAGAGAAGGGGTAACAGCGGCGGCGGAGGGGGGGGGGGGGGGGGGGGGACCCCTTTTTTTGGTGCCCCCTGGGGGAAAAAATTTTCCCCTCCCCCCGGGAAAAACCCTACCCCCCCCCCCCCAAAAAAACGAAGGAAGGGGGGGAAGGGGCTTTGTTTCCCCAAAAAAATTAAAACCTTTTTCCTGGCCCCCTGGGGGGTTCAAGAAAAAAAAACCAACACCCAATTTATGGGGGGGTTGGTGCCCCCAGGGGGGGGAAACCCCCCCTTTGAAAACAAAAAAAAAAAAAAAATTTCCCCAGGGGGGAAATTCGGGGGGAAAGGGGT